GTGGTTACCATGGCCACGGTCTCATTAGAAGAGGACCAGGTGAAGTTGCCACTGCCACCTTCTACCTGTGGAAAAAATACCACCTTACATTTAATTACTACAAGAGGAAAAACGTAGTTTCAGTGAAGATGTAAAATCTGGTCAAATAACGTTTAAGGAATAACAACAATATATAATAAATTATTTCTGGACCCATGAAGAAACTGTGATACTACAGTAGAAATGGGCATGGGAAATGCTAGAAGGAGGTTATATAACGGTGGTGTCACAAAATGTCAAAAAAGGCACAAGAGAGCTTGACCAAATTTTATAAAATTCTTAAGGAACAGACCCATGGAAGAGAGACCGAACACGAACTAAGTCTTGTTAGGATGACAGAATTCAAGAGCATGATTTGGTTGTCACCTAAAACTGAGTTATACCATTAGGATTGGGGGAAATAAAATTTAACATCAGCCACATTTTAATAAATTAAGCTGTCAGAGAAACTGACTTATCTCTTTGTGATTTCTCCTATTATAGGAAACCATACCTGTAATTTATAGCGATATAACATTCCCATAGGATGATGAGGAAAAGTCAGAAAGCTGGGTGTAAGCTTGATGGGAAAATAAATCTTCACTTCTTGCTGATGTATGATTGGAACCTTTATAAGCCGAATATTTTTATCCTATAAGAGAAGAGAAATGGAGCAAAATACATCTTATAAGGATTGTTCTTACAGTACACATTCATATTCAAAACATCAGCAAAATGGCGTGCTAATGAATTACTCATCCAGTTTCTATTTGTAAAAGAAACAAAAAAAGAAATGTTCCTATCCATTAAAGAAGCAAAACTGCCATGGTTCAATAATAATGAAAGGTATTTTGCTAGACCCAAAATAAGTACCACAATCAGGGAAAGTGCTAAAATTTCCTGAAATAAAAGTTTTATCAACACAGAGAAGGACATCATAGTTTCAGAAAGCCCCTTGGACATATCATCAGCTGAGTACATAAACCACAAAGGTAAAGGGATATTCTAAGCTCTTCAGAAGAAAAGGAAGAGAACATGGAAAGATGCTGGGGTACTGAAACTACTGTAAGATAATGTGAATGTCAACTGTAATTGAAAAATAAAAAAATTAAAGATGCTGGGGTAAGACATTCCCCTCATGCTGACAACTATATAAGAGCAGGGTTTGGGGGAATCAAATGCCCGGGTTCAGGAAAGGGTCAGGAGGAGGGGGTGTGGCTCTGACAGGACAGTAAAAAGATTTCCTCTGTGGTGATGGAACAGTTCTATATCAGGATGATGGTGCCGTTACATGAATCCATCCGTGGGCTGAAATCGCACAGACCTCCTACACACACACACACACACACACACACACACACACACACACACACACTCTCACACGAGTATATGTAAAAACTGACTAAGGTCTGAAGTCCAATAGCATTGGACAAATGTTAACTTTCTGACTTTCCTATTGTACTAGTTTTATAAGATGTCACTTATATTGGGAGAACTGGGTAAGGGGTTCAAGGGACCCTGTGTACTAAATATGTATTTAAGAGTTTTATAGACATCTAATTCACATACTGTACAATTCACCCACTTACAGTGTACAACTGAATGACTTTTAGTATATTCACTTTTACATCCATCACCAGTCAGTTTTAGAACACTTTCTTTGCACAAAAATAAATCCCACACCTGTTAGTCGTTACTCCCCGAGTTCCCCATTCCTTCCCCCTGCTCTAGGCGACCACTAACTACGTTCTATCTCTACAGATTTGTCTATTCTTCATATTTCATTCACATAAATGGAACCATAAAATACACGGCCTTTGTGTCCAGCTTTTTTCATTTAGCATAATGGTTTCAAGAATCATACACATTGTAGCACGTTATCAGTACTTTGTTTTTTTCTAGTCGAATATTCCATTGTATGGATAGACCATCATTTATTTACCCATTCACCAATTGATGGACATTTGGGCTATTTCCATTTTCTGACTATTGTAAGTAACGCTGCTATGAACATTCATGAACAAGGTTTTGGTCAATATGTTTTCATGTCTCTTGATATATGTGTATACATAAGAGTGAAACTGCTGGGTGATATAGTAATTCTGTGTTTGCCTTCTCATGAATTGTCACTTGTTTCCCAAAGCACCGGTACCATTTTAAATTCCCTCTAACATTGTATGAGGGTTCCGATTTCTCTACATGTCATTTCTTTTTAGCCAGTGCATATGAAGTGGTACCTCACTGTGTTTTTGATTTGAATTTTCCTAATGACTAATGTTGAATGTCTTTTCATGTGTTTATGAGCCATTTGTACATCTCTGTCCTATGTACAATTTTTGCAACTTCTTGTAAATCAACAATAATTTCAAAACAAAAAGTTTTAAAAGGTTATTAAGGATCACTCTTCCTCCAAAAAGAGTGCTCCACTATATTGAAATCAGTACAGATTTCAGATCGTACGTAATCTACATATTACCCCCAATACAGAAAAAGATGAATTACCCAACTCTTTTGACTAGATACCAAGTAAACTAGGAAAACTCAAAGCTTGTCTCTAATCTCACTGAATTAAGAGTTTGATAGATGTCAATTAAAATCTCCAGACCAGGGGCCGGTCGAGTGGCTCAGTTGGTTAAGAGC